CTACAATGCCGGGCTTTAGAAACTGATTTCTTTGTATATCACAATACCGATGCGTGAACTCAGTACATTGTTCATGTTAGGCAAGAGCTCAACCTCTGAGTTACATCCATGGCCCTTTCCTTTTTGTGTTTTTATTTAGACACAGTGCCTCACTAAGTCGCCTAGGCTGAACATGAACAAATTCAGTAGCCTAGACAGGCCTCAAGCTTTCGATTCTCTTACCTCAACCTCCAGAATAGCTAGGATTATAGACCTGTGTCACCTGGCATAGAAATCTATCTTGTAAGTAGCATTTCACATGGCTTCAAGGACCAAATTTGGGTAAATGTTTAAATGAAGGCACACATAAGTGAAAGATTATATGTGTGTGTTACATATTACATATTAATATATAATTACAATACAGACTAGAGCATAAAAAATAAGGCTGAGTATATCTTTGAGGGAGAATTATCAAAACAAGGTAACACAGTATCTGTAAACTTAGGTTTTGTTTTTTTTCCAACCCAAGCTATTCCTTGTGTTTCTGCTTTTTTGTAGGGCACATGTTAGTAATAAAAATCAAACATGACTTCTGTCTTCATGGTTGGAGCTCTATGCCTTATGGAACTCTTAGCCAGACATGAAAAATACATGTGTTCAATACTGAAGTGGTATGGTAGCACAACTCCACCAAGGATGTGTTAGGTGACAAATGCCAGTGGATGGTGTAGTGACCCAGTGTTACACAATCTTGGTGGTTTTATTTCCACTTGAATGTAATTCGATGCAACATCCTAGCATAGAGATGCAGCATCCACCAAGTTACAGACACTTGGTAAATTCCAGCAGAAAAAGAAAACCCAATTTAAATTCTCCCTGTTCTACCAGGGATGGATGTTCCTGTGCCCATCTTAATAACAACATAGCTACACTTCCCACGTCCCTAATCTACAAAGGTACCATACCATGAAGTTAGGAATGATCTTCCTACCTCAGTCTGTGTTATGAGACTTATCCTTTATCTGCATACATATGTTGTGCATCATGATTGGTTGGAGGTTAAGTACTATTCTCATTATGCCAATGAGTAGTATGATTAATACTATTTAAATACTTTACTGGTATTTTGATCCATAATATGACATATGCTAGCTTCTCGAAATAGATTGTTGGCATTTGTAACTACTATGTGCCCATAAAAATAAGTGACTAACATAGGAAATCATATGAAATATTCTATCAAGTACAATTGTTCTGCATCGTGTAATTTGGAGATTGCAAAAGAAAATAGCAAACTCTGGGCATCTTCCCAAGAAATCCAATAAATACCAGGTGACCAATAATCATATAAATGAGAAAATGACTAGGTTTTTAAAATAATTTGAAAAATTGGCCACATGTGCAATATTGGTACTAATTTTATTTACAACAGTAACTGCAACATGCTAGTTAAGGAGCTGCACAAGAGCCAAAGCATTCCAAGAGTAATTGATGGATTTGGATAAGTTAGAATCAAAGTGTGCTTCCACTGTTTGTGTAGTAGCCTCAGCTATCTCGGCACTGAGAAAACTGTGATTTAGTTCATTTTCAACAATAACACAAACAAAGATGGTCAAGGATCAAACTACTTGGGAAACATTGATATAAATCATTTACAAATGACTTTACAAAGATGAGGACCAAGTCTGCTTCCCAAGCACCCACGTGAAGGCTGGGCACTGGTGGCAAGCATTTGCAACCCCAATGTGGTAGTGCAGAGGCAGAAGGATCCTGGGGACCTGACGACCAGCCTAGCCAGAGCAGCAAGCTCCAAGTTCCCTGAGAACCATTTTCTCAGTAAAGAAGACAAAGAGTAAAGGGAAACACCAGCATTAACTTCAACTTCCTCTTGTGTGTCTACACACACACACACACACACACACACACACACACACACACACACACATGATATTTAAAGAACACTTCTGGGCTGAAAAGACAGCTCATCGGGTGAGGGTACTTGCTGTGTAATCATGGAGACCTGAGCTCAAATCCTCAAGTTTCACATTTAAAAAATGGCTGAGTATAATCCTGTGTGTGTGTCACCCAGTGTTGTAGAGTGGAGACAGGAATAGAGTTATAGAGAGTGGAGACAAGAGCGGTGCTGGACCTTTTGGTGGACAGCTTAGCTTCAGTTTTAGAGAGACATCCTGTTTCAAAGTAGTACAGAAGTGTACAGTGAGCAGGACGCTCAACATCTGACTAGTCACATGCATGCATATACAGGAAGTGGAGGAGGGCCTGGAATGGGAAGCAGGGTAAAGCTGTAAACTCTTTTTTGTTTGTTTGTTTGTTTGTGGTTTTTTTTTCATTTTTCTTTATTAAGAAATTTTCTACTCACTTCACATACCACTCACAGATTCCCTCCTCCTCCCTCCTCCCATACCCCAGCCCTCTCTCCCAAGCCACCCAGCATCCCCCACATCCCTCAAGTCCAGGTCTCCCATGGGGAGTCAGCAGAGCCCAGCACACTGAGCCTAGGCAGGTCCAAGCCCCTTCCGACTGCACCAAGGCTGTGCAAGGCGTCACACCACAGGCATGGGATTCCCAGAAGCCTGCCCATGCACCAGGGACAGATCCATGGCCGAGCGGGCTATAAACTCTTAATGCCTCCCCAATAGAGTATCTTCTCCCACAAGGGTCCACATCCTGGTTGATCTGTAGTCTCTAAAACAGGAGCAGCAGCTGAGGACCAAGTATTCACATACTTGAGCCTTTAAGGGAACATTTTTCTTTTAAACCACCACAGTAAGCAAACCCGTGGACATAATCAAATGTGTGGACCATATGCACATCAGTAGGAATAGGTTAAAATAGCCTAGAATGTTACTGTCCAATTAACAACTTAGCTGTGATTATAGGGCAGGCGAACATGTTACTTCAAGGTAAATCAAGCAGACTGAGCCCCACATTTCCAAGTGTAGTCTGGTATGGCTGAATGGGAATATCAGTGTCTTCTAGCAGATCCTGTGTATTTTATATGAGCAAACTAGGGTTCCAGAGATCCACCAAAGCAATATAAGGAATTAATGGAAGAATACATGCCCACCCACTCATACTTACATGCCTCTAATCATTCTTCATTTCATGTGTACATTCATTCAATGTAATTTAATAAGCACTCACTTATTAAATGTCTGTGTATACTTAGACACCAAAAAAATGTGACGGCAATCAAAATAAGGCAGGGTCTCTGGACTTAGGGCAACCACTTGTGTTCCATCATATTGGTAGGACTTTGAGAGCCATTAATACAATTGCCACACAAACGCACATATAATTTCAAAGACAACTTCTCTAAAATAAAATGGCATATGCTTTGGAATTGTGATGAGGAAATGTGACTTGAAGGAGAGGGTCAGGAAGGGTTTCTCAGAAGTAGAAAACTCAAATTAAACATTGAAGCCTAAACCACCGTGAGGCACAGGAGAGTGGAGAGAGGTACAGAAGCCCTGGAAAGAGGCAGGGGTGCTGTGCTGTTTTAAATGAGAACCATTCTCCATTGTCTCCTGCCTTTGAACCTACTACGGTCCCCAGATCGGTGGCACTGTCTGAGGAGGTTTAGAAGGTGCAGCCTTGCTGGAGGAAGTGTGTCCCTAGGGGTAGGCTTTGAGAGGAAAGCCTCATGCCACTTCTAGTCTCTCTTCTTCATGCTTTCATTTTAAAAGGTAGGGTATCTGCCCCCTGCTCTTGCGGCCACGCCTGTAACTTGTTACCATATCCCTGCTTGCCCCGACAGACTCCTGTCCCTCTGGAACAATGAAACTAAATACTCCTCCTTAAATGGCCATGGTCAGAGCAGTTTATCACAGCAACAGAAAAGTGACCTATCCAGGTGTTTATGGGCTAGAAGTAAAGCCCAGCATGTTTAGGGTCAGGAACGTAAGAAGGGAGGAGCAGGAAAGGCTGGTGGGAGAGGCTGTCCTAGACCTGCCGGGACCTGTAGTCCAAGTTTAGAATTTTTATCTTTATAATGAGCGTCATGGCAAGCCATGTAAGACTGTTAGCAGAAGGATAATATTATGGTTCTCATCTTTAACAGCTTTATTTTCACCTGGGTGAATGCCAGACTCATAAATGCTATTTTGAGGTATTGGGCTTTCCTGTAACTTTGAGGTTCTAAGTGGCGGCCTGGAGAAGGAGCAGGTGGGAGGGAGCGAGAGCGGAAGCGGGGCCACGAAGGGATATTGGGAGGGTGTTGCCTTATCGCCCATCTGGCTTAACCTCTCAGTCCTGGGGCTGTCTAATGAGCTTCCGAGGAAATAAAGACATGTTTTAAAAAAAAAATACAGCTACTTAGAAGGATTCGCATATAGAAGAAATTTACATGTTGTTTGTGAGCTGTGTGAGGTTGACTTTTCCATGAATTTACATGAATTTTTAAGATACTTAATGTGGTACCCCTGGTCCAGTTTCTTTTTGTAAGCGTATATATCAGGGCTAAGAAAATTGTCTGTATTCACTATGGCCCTTCTTAGGATTTCAGAGGGTAAGAATTCTGGCTGATCTCACTCATCCAAGTGGAATTCTAAAACGCATCCTTGAAAAATGAATAGGAAACCAAGCCAGGCTTTGCAAGTGAGGAAGTGTGGAGGAGTACCGAGAAGGCTGTGGAAGTTCAGCCCGGCTTCAGAGGTGGGCTTTCAGACTTGGTTCTCTGAGGTCTGAAGTTGCTGGAACTTCACCTCCCTTCCTAGAAGTCCTTGACAGGTTTTATTTTTACTGCTGGAATACAGTGTCCCAGCTGCCCTGAAATCTTCAGTTTCCTCTACACAACCCCCAACTACCCCTCCCAGGCTGTGAGTACTCACTCCCTAAGCCTGGGTTGCCTGTCAGCAAACACACGGTGTAGCACTAAACAGGCACCTTGCAATGGCAGAGCCCATCCATACCTGAGAAAGAACAGATGAAGGACAAGTTTAGAACTTAGTCCGGCTGTTAACCTTGTTTCTAATAATATGTTTCTTCCTCCCGCTAAGTCCACAACCCTGAAAGAGACACAAGGAGAGCTCTCACTCTGAAGGATATTTTAAATGGAACATTCTCATATAAAACATTTTTTCCAAACTGGATTTCAGGTAAACGGATCATTTCTTATCTTCTGGGAGTTTGTAAAATATATATTCTTTTTTGTTGTCCGTGCCAAGGCTCTTTTATAATAGCCAGAGCTACTGCTCACCAATAGAAACTAACAGAGATGGATTATTCAGAATATTCAGGGAATGTTTTGCACCACCATTCATTCCTGGTTTGCACAATTTTTATTAAGCTACCCTGCATCTTAGAAGGAAAGTAGAAGTTAGGAAGGCTGTGTTGGAATATTGCCAGTGAATGACATTGCTTCTGGGAGTAGAACACGGGTCCCTAGTTAGGAGGAGTCATGAGAATTTTACCCAAAGGGAGAGTCTATCATTAATCTAGACAATTTTAGAGGAAGCCAGCTCCTCCACCCCACTGACAGAAATAGACCTTTAAGGGTTACAGAATTGATATTCCTAGTTTTTATGATTACAACATGGTCAAAGAGGTCTAACCAAAGAAACAGTAAGGTTAAATAGATGGCATTATACTTGTGTATATAAAGGGTCATTTACCAAGGTAGAGCATCGGCATTTCTCTCTTTAGAAAATTCATGTAAAGAATCGGTTACAGTAAACCAAAACAAAGCCCAAATAAGACTTATTTTCATTTTTACAATAGAAACTCACCATTTTAAACTAGCTTGTCCTGTTCGTAGCTCAGAGAAGATGACATTTCACTCTGAGCACCCTGAATCAGTTAGAAGAAAGCTGCTGGCAAATGTGCCATCTTTAGGAGATGCAGAAAGAGCAGAGTTCTGTCCCTCCCATCTATGGCCTCTGCGTGCTGGGAGGGAGGAAAGCAAGGTGTATTTGTGGAGCGGAGGGGGGTCTTTTGTTACAAATATTTTCTTTAAGAGCGATCATTTCATGTTTTTCTTTCTTTTGTGTTTAAAGCACAGGAATACCTTCATCAATCTGCAGATGATAACATAGTGTTTTATAATATTGAAACAAGAGAATCCTATGTCATTTTGAGTAATAGCACCATGGTATGTATCAGCATTGTTTGACTCCCTCAGAAACCTTTGCAAGCACCCCGCTGACTCAGGACCAATTCAGATTCTTAGTGGTGATCTGGATACAACCCACCCGTCTTCCTACCTTCATCTCCAGTGCTTTCTAGACACACTGAACCACTGTCCTCCTCTTCTGCTCTATCCCATAGTGTCTTTTCCTGCTGTGATTAGGAACCTAGAATCAAGTGAACTGAGATTCAACTCCTTTCACTAAGGTGAAATGTTGGATAAGTTACTACACCACCCCAGCTTGCTATACCTCAGTTTCTTCTACTGTAAAATGAGGGCAATGATACTTCTTTAGGTTAATATAAAAATTAAACAAAAAAAATGAAATGTGCTTAGGACATTGCTTAACAGAGGACAGATATTCAAGGAATGGTAACTATGATGTTTGGTTCGGGCTGTTCTTTCCTCCTGGGATTTCAAGCCTCCTCCATCTCTACCCTCAAAGACCTTCTAGTCTTTCAAACTGAGCTCCAAGGACATCCTTGTAGTCTGTGTAACCAATTACCCTCTCGTTTCACCTCTGGCACTCTCCCCTTGATGCTTCTGCAATGCTGTACTGAATCACTTTGATAACTTTCTAATTTGCACTGTCACTCATCTGTAAGATTTAATATTATATGCTTTTGAAATTGCTCTGTTTTTCTATATTAAAATCTTCCCAGTGTCTAGTAAATTCCCTCGTTTGTACTAGGTGTAGCATCCATTTTTTAATTGCATTCAAATTGTATCTGTGTATATGGATGATATGATATTCCTTTAGAATAAAAAAGTTTATGACAGGTAATTTTTTTCTATATTCTAACCAAGTTCTTCATAATTTCAGAAAAGTGTGAATGCTTCAGATTACGGTTTGTCACCTGATCGGCAATTTGCATATCTAGAAAGTGATTATTCGAAGGTATTAACTACTTAATTTTGATACATATACATATATAGAGATAATTATTTCTTCTCTTAACATACAGGTTAGTGTCTTAAAGTAAGAAAATTTAATTGAGACTAGGAAAGGAGGCACCTACCAGTAGGAGTCTATATCTCTCTGTAAACATGTAAGAAATCAGTGAATCCATAAAGCACAGGTAAAACATACACAATAATTTATAATTTGACATTTTTTAAGTCTTGTTATCTGATAATCAAGTAGCAGAAAACAATTTTTTTTTCCTGAGGTAAGAAAATGTCATTTGGGCATACCGATATCCATCAGAAAGGGAATAATTATTCTGGTATTTCTAGAAGTCTTTGTTATCATAACACATTAGTTAATTCTTGGACAGTTTATTGTTTGTTTGTATGTTTGTTTGTTTTGAGACAGGGTTTCTCAGTGTAGTTTTGCACCTTTCCTGGAACTCAATTTGTAGACCAGGCTAGCCTTGAACTCACAGAGATCTGCCTGCCTCTGCCTTCCAAGTGCTGTGTTAAAGGCATGTGCCACTACTGCCTGGCAATTCTTGTACAGTTTAATCTCAAAAAACTATACTGTTATTCCAAACAGAAGCATCAAGGTGTAGCATACGAAGTTGTATAACAGCACAGGAGCATGCAGTCCATATACTGTAGAGGAGGGCTCAGATTTTGTGTATTTGAAAGTCTAACCCTTTAGTGTTATTGGTACTTAATTTTCTCTATTCCCGAATGAATATATGGTAGATAGATGATGGTTATCTCATTTCTTTTATCCGTGTGTGACAAAGCATAAAGCAACTTACTTTCAAACTCAAATTCTAGTAGTTCTTTTGAGATCTTTTGATCAGAATGGAAGGAAGGGAGGGAGGGAGGGAGGAAGGAAGGAAGGAAGGAAGGAAGGAAGGAAGGAAGGAAGGAAGGAAGGAAGGAAGGAAGGAAGGAAGGAAGGAAGGAAGGAAGGAAGGAAGGAACTTTTACTTTGACTACGCTTTTCAGATCTTCCCTGAGTTGAAGTTCCCTATTAGGCTTTCTTTCCTATTCCAATGGGGAAGTCATTCTGACCACTACCAGGATGCTCAGTCAGGGGCTTATTCTCCAGTAGTCCAGGCCCTGGTGATCCAAATCCTCAGACATATGCCTTTCAGCCTAATGGAGCTTGTCAAGAAATTGAAAGCCCTTTAAGAAACAGAATCCAAAATAATGTTTGCATTATTCACTAAGTCCAGCATATACTCAAGTAGATAAAGAGCAGCTCAGTTCAGAAGGAATATTAAGTTAAACTCTTCTATTTGTTTTTCAAATTCTATGATTTAAATATATACACCCAAAGAAAGAAGACATTTTGTAACAAGCTGTCCAGGACATTCCTTCTAACCAGTTTTAAAGGGTATTATTCTTACCATGGTGTGATGCAGACACTAGAGGCTATGGACATCATAGGGGGCCTCCTTCAATCTAGAGGGACATTCTGAGGACAAAGAGTGTCAAAGATAAGATTTTTTTTATACTGTGAAATGACTTTGGGCATAGTTTTTATGGAGTAAAAGTTAGATCATCCTGAGGTGCCCTCTGACACCTTAACAAGTAGCATGAAAGTGTACATACAGTAAAAGTAAAGGAAACTCTGCTTTGCATTAAAATACATCTCCCCTAGAGTGCAGTGAGAATCCATCATTATATATTATTATCCAAATGAGCTTTTTGAGCTTTATAACTTTGTCCTCTGTCTCTGCCTCTCTTCCCAACAGCTTTGGCGGTACTCATACACAGCGACATACTACATCTACGACCTTCGGAATGGGTAAAGCACCTTGGCTAGCTATTAATGCAGCTTAACTCTTAAGACTTCTAGCTCCGATCTGAGTTTAAGACTACATTAGCTTGTTACTGATATTGTGTATGTAGTTTGCAATAAACATCAACCCACAAAACAGGATGACTCTCCTATGATATAGTTTCCTGTTTATTTGACTACTACTTTGCATTTTATATACAAAATATCTTTGATTTTTCTAATTTCAAAGAGAAAATAACAGATGTGCAATCTATGGAAATAAACACATGTAATAAAACTTTTTAAAATGCATGGGAATGAGACTATTTTAAGGAGGAAGCCCACTACATTAGAAAGAGGCTTGAAAAAAAAGAAAGAGAAAAGAAAGAGGCTTGAGAAGGGAGGTATGGCAACAGCCATTGTCTGGATACACATCCCACTCATTGATTTAAAACTGATTGTTTTAAAATTTTTAAAATGCTTATTTTAATCCTTAAAGTGTTAAATATCTCTCAGTTATAGAAGGAATAGAGATTGCCATTTATGTATTATTTTCTTTATTTTTATGTACATTCCAACTACATAAATAGTTAACACTTAAAAGAAAAACAAAATGAATGTACAGGAATATGAAGGGACAGCATCCTAGACAGAAGAGTATATGATGGTTTCCAGAGACAACACAAAACGTTAAGAAAAACAAAACTTTAGTATCTCGTGTCAACTGGTTAGAGGACAGCAGCCTGCTAGGGGAGGGTGTATAAGGTTGGAAAGGATTTGGGGACTGAAACCAGGTGAATAATAACCAGGCGACCATTAAAAAGAGATTAGATCTATTTCTGATGGCAAGAGGAAACCACTGAAGGATTTTATAGGAAATGACACAATCAGATTTGTATCTTAGACAACGCACCCTGGCTAATTGAGGAAATAGATCACTTTAGTTACTCATCTTCATATGATACATTCTTTACTGTTATACAAAAAGTAAGAATAATTGTATGTCTTAAAGAGGTATTGAAAATCCTCTTCTGGGCTATTTCCCCTTTTGTCAAACAAAGAACAAAATAATTTTTTAAGGTGTCTCCTTATTTCAGGGGAAATAAACAAGACCTGGTTTTTAAAACATAGTCTCAGTTGATCTAATGGATTTGGAGTCTCCTTTCTGTTTCAATATCACTGCTAAAGGCAAGAAGTATTTACAGAGCTCTATAGCCTGAAAAGCATATATAGAAAAATGCAAATGAGCTGAAAGAACCAACCCTACTCCTAAGAACCCTCAGTCTGGCAAGATGCGAATCATAGCCTTGCAGAACAGTTTTATTCGGGCTTTAATCATGCCATTATCATTTAAAAATTCCTGATGTTGAAGTTCACCAAATTGAAAAGCACCCAAATGAAAATATTCCCAAATAAAATGATGATTACTAATTTCTTAACAACGGCTTAGAAAAGATTATGTCCTGCACTGTGTTACCTGCTTAGCTGTAGTATATCTAGTCAAACTACTCACTGGGTTTTCTTGTTTGTTTGTTTTTTAATATGTGTATTTGTGTGTGTACGTGTGTGTACGTGTGTGTGTGTGTACGTGTGTGTGTGTGTGTGTGTGTGTGTGTGTGTGTGTCTTCTATTTTCTTCACAACTATTTAATTTCACAGATAATTTTGGCCAGGCAAAATAATATCATTTTAGTTAGAGGTGGAAAATTGGTTGAAAGTCAAGTGGTAATACCACTAATCTCATGCCTCTGCCTCTGAAGATTACTAAAACCTCTAACCACAAAGCTATTTGTAATTGATATCCACTGGCAAGAGAAAAAAATCACTTTCCTCCCGTGTGGTGTCACTGGGTGTATCAACCACACTCTAGGGTGGGCCCCGTGCCCAGCAGTAGTTGATGAACACAAAACAAGATACATAGTTTTTGTTGTTACTGTTGGGGACTTTTTGTTTTGTTTCGGCTTTTTAAATATTGGTTCATTTTTATTTTCATTTTTATGCTTTTTGAAAGAGAGAGAGAGAGGATATCAAATTTGGTGGGTAATGAGGTAGAAAGGATCTGGGGCAAAACATTCTCGAAATATATTGTATGAAAAAGAATTAATACATTTTAAAAATAAATTTAAGAAAAAAAGTCTAGTAGTGAACAGTAATGAAGATAGTTGTGGTTTAATAAGCAAGGTGGGATCCATAGGTGACAGCTTTTATAATACATCCCCTTTTTCCATCTTTCATGGCTTTAGTGACTCATAAAAACACAAATCGACAGCTCAGGTGGCTTTCCAGTCATAAAGACATGCAATTGGATTTGCATTGTTTCTGCCATTGCCTAGCTTAACTGTACTCCATAGAGAAGACTTGGGCAGTTTTCAGTAACTTAGGCAGTTACAACGTAACATTGTAACTTAGGTAGTGTTACAATGTCAGTCAAATGTAATATGAACATTAACTTGATACAGATTGTACACCAGGGAAATAATGGCTTCTGGTCATTATTGTAGCTATATCCTAACATCTCCATTGTCATTGTGTGCCTGGTGTTCATGTATGGACCTCTGGCTGCCAGAAGTCTCACAGCAGTGCAGCATTTATAATCTTCCTCCAAGAGCACGGCTTCTTCCTATCAAGCATTTGCCTCATTGTTAGGTATTGTCCTGTGTGACATAATAAATTTAATCAAGATAAAGTGCATTACATGTCTTCTCCATCATCCAGGTGTGAGGGAGAGGTGAAGGTCGAACTGACGGACAAATGTGAGGCCCAAGGTACAGAGACTGTTAGCAGAAAGGACTGGGGTCTTTTTCAATGTCTTCCAATTGGTCTTAAGAGTAGATATTGCTTTGCTGTGCCACAAAAACAGTCTTGATGACACTATTAAGATGCTTTTCAAGCAGTCAAACTTTCAGCATGGCAGCTTATGATTCTTTAGTACATAAACATGTGATGTGTTCTCGTTGAAAAGCTACAAGAGCTCCACAATGCAATTCCCTTAGCTGAAGCTTGTAGAGAGATGCTAAACATCAAAGTGAGGGTTTTGGGCCAATAGAATATCTGAAATTTCCCCATGGGTGGAGAACTTTGCAAGCTTAAGGCACACTGCCCAGTATACGATCTGTTTTTCAGTTTAGCTTGAGATCAGATGTTCCTTTCCTTTTCTGATTTCAAGTCAGATCCCCAGGGAGATTGTCAAATGGCATCTTATTTTCAAAAATTTGAAATTCATATGCATTCACAGAGAAGGGGGTTGTGAATGAGAATGTGGAAGAGCACATATTAAACTTGAGCACAATTATAGAAACTCAGAGCTGGAAGGCACGTCAGCGACCATCTTAGTCTGGTGTGTGCAAATTTTACAGTCCCAGGGGTTAAATGACTTGAGCTTTATTTGGGGTCTGCCCAAGAACTAGCAATGCAATTTTTAAAAGTCCTTATCATCTCTCCATGTTTCACAGTTGTCTTCTGTGAAACAGAGGGACTCTATTAGATGAT